GCCAAGGGTGAGCCTGTCAGCTTCCTTTACTAGAATAGCTGTGGCAGCTACAGCCAGGTGCTTGGACAGATTGCAGCAGGCCTCTGCAAGGGTCCCAGGGGCTGAGTCCAAATGCCTTTTGCAATGTCCAAGTCCCACGGATGAAGAAGTGGACCGGCTTGGGGACGTTTTGGTAACGCCAAAGCTGGGGCTCTGGTTAGGTAAGAGTCCGCTTCAGTTCCCAGGAAGCTCTGCTCCCCTGCTTCAGTCCACTTCAAAGGCTGGTCTCCGGCAGAGGCAGAATAAAGGGGCCGGGCTATCTCCCCACCCCCAGGTACCTGCTCGCTCCCCCCCCCTTTTGGTTTGAGACAGGGTTTCTCTGTGTAGCTCTGGCTGTCCTTGAATTTGCTCTAGATCCAGCTGGCCTCAAAGGCAGGTATCTGTCCCTTCTGCCTCCCAAGTGCTGGGATTAAAGGCATGCTCTGCCACCAACACCCTGCTTCTTGATTTGGGGAGCAGGGATCTGGAGGGCTTCTTTCCCAGCACCTCTGAGAGTTCTCCTACCTGGAGTGAGCTTTTGTTTGGCAGAGCTGAGCCTTTTTTATGGAGACATGATATCCCAATGCCTGGAGCAGCTGGAGCAAAATGTTTGGGTCTTCTTAACTGGTGTCAATGTCAGCTGCTGCCATAGATCATCTACACACTGGAGCAGAGCTGATCAGGGCACGACACCCTGAATCCGGTTAAGTCTTTTTATAACGCCTCCCCAGAGAGTCTAGGGGAATTTTTGAACACTTGGGGTGGTCATATCCACGTTAGCTGGCTTGGCTCAGTCTCACTGGACATGGGATCAGTTCATTTGAAGGTAAATATGAACTGGCTAACAGCACCAGGAGAATGGAGGCAACAGCGTCCTTAAGATCCAGGGTTGTGTAGACCTTGTGGTCTGGTAGGAGGAGACTGAGCAAAGTGTACAGATTTAGAATATGGGAAGGTGTTTTTCAAGCTGATTGGCATGGGGTGGGGATGTTAGCTTCTCACAGCCTTTTAACACGAGGAGCAATCTTTAGTCCAGCCTTTTGGTTTGTGGGATATTGCAAGACCGTTCGTTATCAGTGTGGCTTACCACAGAGGCTTCCCACAGCTGGAGGGCAAGCTGCCAGGCCTGGGTGATTTGCCTTAGTCTGTACTTTAGGAGACCGTTGTTGTAAATCCTGGAGTAGGGTCTCTGGATCTGGATTTGTTTCTGTTGTGAACTCTGGGAGAGCTAGAGATATTCTTGGGACAGAGGGGCCACC